TTACCTTCCCTGGGCAAGATCTGATGCCTAGTTTCTCTCTCCCTTCTTCCTCTTGCCCCCATCCACTACCTGCAAACTGCTTACCCTGTTTGCAGCCTGCAAACTGCTTAGTATATGATTTGGGTTTTTTTCCAGTTTCAAGATGGCAACCCTGCCCTCCCCCCCCTTCTGGGGCAAGGGGAGGGACTTCTGATGGAAAAGGTCAGGGGTTAGGAGCAGGACTTCCAGTCTCAAGGTGGGACCAGGGGGTGGGACTACCCATGCGGCCCTTGACAGCTCACCAAAATGCATTAAGCAGCCCTCCAACCAAAATAGTTGCCCACCCCTGCTTTATACCATTGAAAGCTTCTTTTGTGTAGCCTAGGTAGCCCTATGACTTCAGTTATAGTACTCTGGAACAAATTAGCATGTGTTTCTATACTTTTGATATATCAAGGTATGCTTTGGCTCCTTGTCTCTTCCCACTGTTCTGCTCATCTAACATGGGACAGACTAAGATTTGCCCCTGGGACAATTTCTAATCCTAGCAAATCTGAATTCCTCCTGCTTTCAGACTAGACCTTGCAGCTCCCAGTTTATGGGAAATTTCCCTTTAGTATATGTAAAAATTATAGGCCCCTTCTGCAAAAGAGCCAAACCTGAAATTATCAATTGCTCTGAAAATCACCTGTATCACAGGCAATCAGTAAGGTAAAGAAAACTGAAAAAAAGAATTTTGACTGAACTAGCCTACTCTACACTGTTAAGAGTTTTCCTGCAAGCAGCTTCTCAGATTGCACTACTGGTGGTTATCCCATCTTCTGCCAGCTGGTGGACTAGATCACCCAAGGGCTTGAGCTCCCTAGACAAAGGACTTTCTCCCAAAGCTTTGCTTATAAACCTTTTTTTCCTTTTCATTCCTGGAGGAACATGTGTATATTATTCACATAACTTTTTTCTTCCAGCTGTCTGTCAGGCAGGTGTCACTCCTGATTTACAATTATGTTTAAGAAATATAGAAATATGTACATCTTTCCAGGCATAGGTTGCTAATCCAGTTTCTTTAGCTATGACTTTCTCAAGAAAGAGAGACTTTTTCCTATTGGTTCAAGGGATAAAAAATACGAATCTCTGTATGAGATAATTTCTAGGTGTTTGTCTCCTGAGAGTGACTCCCCCATAATAGGGGTTTGAATTTTAAAATCTAAAAAAGCAGTTGTTTAGGATAGGTCTCCGTCTCATACACACTGCCACCTACATCCCTGTTTCATTGATATGCATAGCCATTCCAGTTGTGAACTCTCAGAGATTAATTTCCCTTCTGAAAGACGGAATCTCTTTGCAGTATGCATAGTTTTCGTTAGGTCTGGTGATTTCAGGAACTTAATTCAGCATCCCACTTAATGATTAATTCCAGTCGCACTATAACATTCCAAAAATACATTTATATCAAATAGCACCATTTAGACAAATGTAAAAATGATAAAATTGAACATAACTTAATCTTCACTATAGATAAAAAAAACAAATCCTAGATCAGTAAATCTAATTTGAGAAAATAGCTATGCATGACACTACACACCCAAACTCAACCCTGCATTTGTGTAAGTTCATGACATACTGTTGATTTGTTCTTCTTTATCCAATTTGCGTTAGCACTTGTTCTGACTGAAAAGATCAGGAGCAGTATGCCATTTCTCTTTCTTGTTTTTTTTCAGTGCTTTCTGTCTTGTAGTTTCCTATGTATTCCAACTCTTAATGCAGGTAGCTAAGAACTAGGGCTGTTCGAGGCTTCGGATGCTGTGGTGTCTGAAGCAGCGTGTCTGGATTGAAGAGCTGGCTTTGCTAGGCTTTCCGAAGCAGTATGGAGCTTCCAAACCGCTCGGAAAAGCTTCGGAGCCGCCTCGGAGATCCGGCCGTAGGGTATAATGGGGAATCAATGAAATATCTATAATTTTGTTGTTTTTTGTCTGATTTGGATGAAACTTGCAGGGGTGGTAGCCTCTGCTGAGAGCATGAAGCCTACCAAGTTTCAGGAAGATTGGTGCAGGGGTGTTGGGGGAACTGCACCCCAAATTCTTGAAAGTAAAACTCATGTCACGTGTAAGTGTTAAGCCACAGTGGGGTCAAAACTACAGGGGTGGTGGCCTCTGCTGAGGCCACAAAGCCTGCCAAGTTTTAAGGAGATAAGTTCATGGGTTTGGGGGGAAATGCACCTCAAGCTGCTGACAGGCAAAACTCAAAACCCTCTTGGGCCCAGCCCTGGTGCACTGAGCAGGGAGGGGGTGGTGCTGAGCTCCAGGGCCCAATCCTGGCACGGAGAACTTGATCTGGCTTGCAAATTGACGCTAGGCCATTTATCTGGCTCACCATTGGCATAAGAAAACATACTTGCTTGTGATTTTCTCAGTGTAAAAGGGAATTCATTTTTATGTTCTTACTAGGTTCTCTTGGAACAAGATATTTTTCATCATTCCTTAATGGCATGCTGTTTGGAGATTGTACTATTTGCATATAGCTCACCACGTACTTTTCCTTGGATCATTGAGGTTCTTGACCTCCGACCATTCTATTTTTATAAGGTAGAAACATTATTATTTTGAAAGTTAGCTACAAACCTTATTAGTGTTACCCTTTTCTGTAATCACACCAGAAGAAACCTTTTTAGACAGTTACATGATGACATGTAAGAGATTGCTAGGGATAAGTGTATTTTCCCAGACTTGTTTTATAAATATGGAGGAGCAACTAATAAGAACAAGACAAATCTAACTAAAAGCAGGAAATTCCTATGTCTTTAGTACTGTGTAATAAATCCTATGAAAAATATAATTATATATAGATCAGTGAAGATGGATAGAAAAAAATAGGTTTTTGTCAAGTCTTCAAGTGAAAACTTGGTATTGGATGTAGAACAGTTAGAGCAAATAGAAATGGGAAACCTGTTCAAGACAATGCAATTGTAGAAGAGAATTTTCTACAAATAGTGGAGAGAGAGAGATGCACACAGAGCGTTAGATGAACAGAGGGTTCAGAAAAGGGAGTAGAAAGATTGCATTGTAGGAAATTTGAAGTTTTAAATCAATAAAGGGTTTGAGCTGGTCTTGAACGAATGCTGTTTTAGTGTAGTTAGAGATGAGTGGTGTGAGTTTTGCTTTTTGTGTATTATGATTAAACTGCTTTGTTGTTTTATAGGTGATTGAAGTATTGATTCGGTCTGAGGAAGGACTCTCTAGAGACATGGTAAAGCACCTCAACAGCATTGAGGAACAGATTCTGGAGAGCCTAGCCTGGACTCAGGATTCTGCACTGTGGAGTGCCCTCCAAGCCTCACAAAACAAAGTCCCAACTTGTGAAGAAGTAAGTTGAAGGGAAAATAATGATGAGAAAATGTGTGTCATTTTATATGGCTGTCCTTTACATGGCCTTCGCAGAATACTAATTGAATGCAACAGTTTATCCAATACTGAAATAGGAAGGCTAAAAAACAGTGTTTTGGACTTGACCTGACTGGTCCTTTTCAGTTCTAAATTCCTGTGTTCTATGGTAAAAAAATATTTTAAAATTACAGTTCACAGCATGAATAGGGGGGAAAAGATTTTTGCTATCTCTAATGCTGGCATTTTTTATTTTTCCAGGTAACATTTCCAAATAATTTTGAAGCTAGCAATGGAGGAAGTGGGCTAGGACATCGGCCTCTGTTGTCAATGTCTCCTATAATGCATCCGCGGGTAAAAGAGGTTCGGACAGATCTTGGTGGGAGTTTACGAAGAGGTGACGTCTTTTATTATGTTTGGTGTACATAATATATCAAATTACTGACAGAAGAGCCAATGAAACCTTGAATATCAGTGAATTATGTTTGTTAAAACTGTATTGTCATTTGGATTTTTTACAAGCTATGGGAAAATACTTCCTTTTGAACATGGTTGCCTTGCCTTTGTTAGAGCATTAAGTGGGTTGCATTTCGCTATATGAAGCACCACTCCTTATGTGCAGATTACCTACACTGAATTAGGACAAGATAAGGATTTCTGCCTTACATTCTAGTTACTGAAATTCTTTTGAGGGCTAATAGCTTTATCATGTCATGCTGTTCTTATTGCTTCACCAGATGACTTTACAGTATGTTTCTCCCTGGTTATATTTTTGCTCTTCCTTCATAGCGGGGGTTATTTGCCCATTGCATAGGCTTCCCTGGGGGGCGGGCACTTGGCCCAAAAACATTGCCGACCCCTGGCCTGCAGAGCACTTTGGTGGTGGTCTGTTGCTGGTTTCTCCCATAGTTTTTGGTTTTTCATCTTTTCTTTCTGTATAAATTGCTAAACATAAGACTTTTGTATTATCACTTTTCTACATAAGCAGTTGTGGCAGGTGTCACTGAGAAGTTTGAGTAGAGGCAAGATGACTTGGCGCATGTCCACGAGGGGCCAGTAGGGGAGATTATGCTTAGGGGCAACCAACACGGGTTCATTAGAAGCAGGTCCTGTCAGACCAACCTGGTGGCCTTCTACGACCAGGTCACCAGATCCTTAGATGCAGGGGTGGAGGTGGACATAGTTTTTCTGGACTTTTGGAAGGCCTTCGACACTGTCTCTCACCCCGTTCTCATTAAGAAACTGGGGGACTGTGGCATCAACACCTACACAGTCAATTGGGTCGCTAACTGGCTGGAGGGTCGCACCCAGAGAGTGGTGGTGGACGGGTCCTATTCAACCTGGAGGGATGTGGGCAGTGGGGTTCCGCAGGGTTTGGTCCTCGGGCCTGCACTGTTCAACATCTTCATCAGCGACTTAGACGAGGGGGTAAAAAGCACCCTGGTCAAATTTGCAGACTGCACTAAGATGTGGGGGGAAATGGGCATGCTAGAAGGGAGGAATAGGCTGCATTCGGACCTAGACAGGTTATAGGGGTGGGCGGATGAGAACAGGATGGGTTTCAGTACTGACAAGTGCAAGGTACTGCACCTTGGGAGGGAAGAACCAGCAGCATACCTACAGGCTGGGGAACTCCCTTCTCATGAATGTAGAGGCAGAAAAGGATCTTGGAGTCAGTATTGATGCCAAAATGAACATGGGCCAACAGTGTGGGGATGCAGTCAGGAAGGCCAACCGTACCTTGTCATGCATCCACAGATGCATCTCAAGCAGCTCCAAGGAGGTGATCCTCCCCCTCTGTGCGGCACTGGTAAGGCCGCAGTTAGAGTACTGCGTCCAGTTCTGAGCGCCGCACTTCAAGAGGGATGTGGACAACATGGAGAGGGTCCAGAGGTGGGCCACTCGCATGATCAGGGGACAGTGGGGCAGGACCTATGAGGAGAGGCTAAGGGATGTGAACCTGTTCAGCCTTCTCTTGTGGAGGCTGAGGAGGGATCTAGTTGCTGTTTACAAACTAGTCAGAGGGGACCAGCAGGCATTGGGGGAGTCTCTGTTCCCCCGAGCACTGCCAGGAGTGACTACAAATAATGGTCACAAGCTGGCAGAGGGTAGATTCAGACTAGACATCAGGAGGCGTTACTTCATTGTCAGGGTGGCTAGGATCTGGAACCAACTTCCAAGAGAAGTGGTACTGGCTCCTACCCTTGGGGTCTTTAAGAGGAGGCTAGATGAACACCTTGCCAGGGTCGTTTGACCCCAGTACTCTTTCCTGCCATGGCAGGGGGTTGGACTTGATCTGCTCAGGTCCCTTCCGACCCTACCAACGATGAAACTATAGATCTCTCCCACATGTGAATACATTTGAGAACTTACGCTTTAACTTGCAGGAGACAAGAAGAATATGGTCCAAACTGTTTAATTTATCTGTATAAATATCTACATTAGGAAAGGGTGAACTATTTAAATGGACATTTACATTTTCTTTTTTTGACTAAAAGGCAAAGCATTAGAGTTGCATTGATACATTGGTCTAATATTGGATCAGCACAGATATAAAGAAAATTGACTATATCAGAAATCAGCTTAATTTAGCGAATAAATGCTCGTGCATGCATGCAGCCGCAGCGCAGCGTAGCACATAGGCAGTGAGGAGCACAGCCTGGTAGCTTGGAGACCTGTGTGCAGCTGGTAGGTCCATTGTGTTGGAAGGGGAGGGGGGTGGGAAGGGGC